TCTCCTGTATTAGCTTCTCTGCATTGGCTCCCTGTAAAATTCAGAATAGAACTTAAAATCCTCCTCCTCACCTACAAAGCTCTTCATGGTCCTCTCCCTCTCTTTCTGCACACATTTATTTAAATTCATTAATGCATGTTACTAACTTCACTTCTTCCCTAGAGTTCTTGTGCTTTCTCGTCTCACAGGTTCTTATGGATCCTGGTGGTGCCTGCTGCCATGGTCCTGCTAGACCCCCACTGCTAATATTACCGATATTATTATTAGTGTCTGTGTCTCATAAGTGGTGAGTTAATTCATCATCAGATAACTTGGACCTAGGACCATTTTTACCCCATTCCAACTTTCTATGTAAACAGCCAGATTATCTCTTTATTTGTTCACTCTTACCTTGATGGTTCTAATTGGATCTTGCTGCTGCTGCTGGGGTGGTTGTTGTTGGTGGTGAGGATGATGCTGTTGATGTTGCCGCTGTTGATGATGAGGTTGGTGATGCGAACAGGAAACATGCTGCTGAGGATGATGCAGGTGATGCTGCTGTTGCTGTTGTTGCGGTTGTTGTGGTGCTTGGTGTGGGTGTGGATGCTGCTGGAGATGCTGCTGTTGGCTGAACTGTTGCTGTTGATGCTGTTGTTGATGATGATATGGGAGGCTTTGTGCTTTGTTAATATCTTGATGCATTTCCACAAGCCCTTCCTCCCTTCTGCCTCGCCCTCGACCCCGCCCTCGACCCCTCCTACTTTCTCCAGTAACTGATCCCATCAGCCCCCTGCAGTAAGGAGGCTCTGGAAGAGGACGTATGCGTGGTCTACCTCGTGGGCGAGGAGGGCCTTCACGTTTTGGTTTAGTTGGTTTCCTGCCTCTTTTCTTAGGGCCATCATGGGGAGGGGGTTGAGGAGGGTGTCCAAGGGAAGAGTAGTTGGAGGGGTGGCAGAAGTCCATGTCACCCATCAGAGGACTAAGCCCGCTTACTAATGCCCCACCAGCCTTTCTACAACTAGACACCAAGTCAGGGAGCAGGTCAGGAAGGCGCCGGCTGTTGAGACGGATGTCAGCTGGAACATCAGCTTTATCCTCATCATCCTCAAATTCATACTCTTGCGCATAGTTTTTCTTTGTTTGAGGTTGTGGCTCACGCCGCTGTTTGAGCAAGTGAAATGAGCTGGTCTTCAGCAGTTTTTTGGGTCGAGAGGAACAGAAGATAGGTGAGGTCAGACCAGTAGTGTTTGAATTTCCACCAACTCCCACAGCTCCTATTATCTTGTTGACTGAGCCATCCCTTTGAACTACTGAACTCAATCCCATAGTGGAGGTTTGGGATTGGATGAGGCCAAGCTGGTCAGTATTCACAGTGGAGGGAAGCTCATGGGTCTTCATAGAGTCAAGGTCTAAATGCAGATTACCATTTCCTGTTCCTGGAAGGCTGTGGCAGTATTGTCCATAGCCTTGGTCGCTATGATGACCCACTATATCATAGCCCTCTCCAGCTCCTCCATTTTTTAAGGCCTCCATACCTTCTTGCCCCTGCCCATGACCCTGGGTAAGGCTGTCTTGAGCAGACTGGCCAGCCCCAGAATCCCCAGCACAGCTTGACTTGTAATTAGCTGAACAAAACATGTCCTCCATCTCAGGAAAGAAAGACCGGTCTTCATCGTGTAGGAGAGAGTCTGGAAAGCAGATGGGTGTTAGAGGTGCAAACCGCTGAGGCTGCTGAGCTTGATTTTGTCCTACCTTACCTACCGGACTCACTGTGTCAAACTGGTGCTGTTTGAGCTGGTCTAACTGAGAGTGTGACAGCTGAGTTTCAGGCTCTCTTTGTTGGGGCTGCTGCTGTTGTTGGGGAGTTCCCATATTTGCTGCCATCCGGTGGGAGTGTGGGTGAGCTAACTGAGAGTGTGACAGCTGATGGTGAGTGTGTGCTTGCTGTGAGTGGTGGGCATGGGGGTGAGGCTGGTTGAGGTGGTGCAGATGTGAGGCGGCGGACAAGCCCAAATCTGGTTCAGAAAGGAAGTCATGAAGATCTGAGGCTGTTTGTTGGGGGTGGTGGTGGGGTGTAAGCCTGTGCTGCTGTCTATGTCTGTCTCCACCACCTCCTTCCCCTCCTGTAACAGTCACCCCAACCCCAGTTCTGTCCAGAGCTCCTCCGCTGTCTCTGCTGTTTGTCCGGGAAAGAGATTGTTCTAGCATATCTAGCGGAGATACTGAGTTCTGACCGGCTCTGGTTTGATCTCTTGACTGACCTCCAAGGCTGTAGTGGGTATCCATACCCTGGGTTTGGAGCTGGAGTTGCAACTGTGAGGACTGGTTCTGTGGGTGGGATTCCACCCCAGCAGGTCCTGCTCCTCCGGCTGAACCCATCATGGCCTGCTGGCTCATAGGATGCTGCTGTTGCTGCTGTTGCTGCTGTTGCTGCGACGGAGCTTGTTGGGGGTCCATCTTGGTGCGGGTTGTATGAGAAAGAACCGACTGCAGCATGTGAGTTTGCTGGGGGGGGGCTGGTGGTGAATCCATTAGAGAGAGGGGAACCTGGTTTTGTCGAGCCTGCTGCACATCTGGCGTGTTACACAAGTAGGCATTGTCATTTGCATCTGAAGGTTTCTTCAGCTCCATGTGAGGGTGGCTGTGTGAGTGGGAATGGGGATGGTTATGCTGGGAATGTTGAGAGTGCTGTGTGTGTTGAGTATGCCGAGAGTGCTGCGAGATTTGGGAGTGCTGAGAGTGTTGCTGAGAGTGAGAGGATACGTGTGAGGTGTGATGGGTATGTTGTGAGTGTGAGTGCTGTGTGTAGGGGTCCCCTCTTCCATAATGGACCACAGAGCCCAGGGAGTCATGCTGTTGTTGATGGGAGTGGGTAGTATGGGAGTGGGAAAAAGAGTCAGGGACCCCTCCTACCCCTGCAGCAGTTGATTTTGATATGGTCAGCTCTGACTTGGTCTGTTGCTGTTTCTTCTGAGATATTTCCAACTGACTGTTTATTCCACTTGCTGCATCACCAATTGCACTTCCAGGACCTGAACTGCTAGTGGTGTTATTGGTACGAATGACACTCTGAAGGTGGTAGCGCCCTTCTGAGATCTTGTTCATGTCATAGGTCACCCCCTTGCCTTCCGCATCCCTAGCCTGTGGGAGTGTTTGGGGTAGTTGTTGAGGAAGTGGGTGATGCTGGGATGCATGAGGAGTTGAACTCTGCGTATGTAGTAAGTGGTGGATGAGGAAATCGTCATCATCTTCTTCCTCATCTTGGGATCGCTCAACTTCCAGCATGTTGGTCTCTGTTTTTAGCTTGGGTGGTGTTGAGTGATAGGACTGGCTCTGTGTTTGCCCTGTATCAGAGAAACCTTGTGGTGAGGACATAAAAGCAGGAGAGAGGATGGAGGACAAGTATTTGGAGCCTCCAGGGGACTGTACAGGGCGAGCAGAAGCAGGAGAGTGCAATCCAGGGTGACTGATAGTAGAATTGATGGAGGGTGATGGACTAGACTCAGGCAGGTGGAAAGAGTTGCTGCCTCCATTACCAACACTAGCAGTCCCACTCACTGATCCTGCAGATCCAACTCCACTGCCAAGTGCCGCACTTCCTGATATTGGTCCACTTCCTGTTGATCCTCCAGCACTCCCATAACCTAAGGAAGGACTGCCTGCTCTTCTGAGAGAAGCTGAGCCATAGCCTGAGTCCCCAAAGACTATCTCAGCAGAAAACGATCGCCCTCCTGAGCCTATACCAGTGAAGGACTTGCCTCCATTGCCCCCTGCTCCAGAGCTCAGTTCCTGGGCATGAGGTGAGTTAAAGCCTCCATAAGACGGAGTCATGTGTGTAGGTGGAGGCTGGTTGGGAGAGCAGGACTGGGTATGTTGCTGGGGAGGGGTCTGGTCTGGTAGACCTGTGTTAGATTTGACCACAGAAGGGGAGCCATAGCTGGAGAGGCATTGTTTGGGTGCTGGCTGTTGAATAAGGGTGGATGACACCACTGGTAGAGGGGGTGGTGCCGGTGCTGACTGAGGTGGGGGCTGCTGACGAGAGGGAGCAGACAAGGAGCCATTGCTTGCCTTGGAGCTAGAAGAAGACGAAGAGGAAACCGAAGAGGCTGATGGTGGAGTGTGTGGGGTACGGGAAGAGGATGATACTGAGCCCGAAGAGGAGTACCCACTACTAGAGTTGGAACTCTTGGCTCCCTTAGTGCCAGATGAGGAAGAGGCTGAGGAACTGGAGGACGAGGATGTGTAGGGAGTTTGGATGATAGGCCGATACGTCTTGGACTCCATCCGTGGTGAGGGCTTGGGGTCAGAGGATGGGCTCTGCTCCTCCAGAGGACTGCAGGATACTCCAGCATGCCGGTGATGGCTAGCTATCTGCTGGTAGCCTGATGACCCGCCACAGCTGACATATTGATGTAGGGGGAGTGCTGTGGACTGGGCTGGGGACGAGCGTTGGTAATGCTTTATCACACTGTCCTGGCGGGAAACTGGCCTATCTGGAGGAGCCTGGGAAGGGGGGACTGCAGGGGGGGCAGTGGGTGGCAGGGCTGGTGTAGAAGAGAACATGGAGGCATTATAGAGCTGAGAGGACTGGTTGTGGAGCTGGGAGGACAACAGATTGAACTGGGGAGCGGGCAGGTGGCAACTGGAGGAGGAGGAAGGCGTTTGGGTCTGAGGGGGGGCCAGGGGATCCTGGGAGCTCCGATAGGTGGCACTCTGGGAAGACAGCAAGCGATCAAAGCCCAAGCTGGACTGGGATGGTGTTTTGATGTGTAGCAGGGGCTCATGGGGGGATAGCAAACCATTGGAAGTTGGGCTAAATGTAGGCGGGTCCTGCAGGGATAGTGAGGGAGTGAAAGATCGTCCAGAGAAGGAGCCAGGATGCTGGTATGCAGAAAGGGCTGAGGAGGAAGGGAAGGAACTGGAACCTGGAAGTGCCCCTGATATAAAGAGCTCTGCTGGGGCTGGGGTATGCATTGCTACAAGACACAATATTATATGGACAGAGTTGGTCAATGCAAATCACAATTTAAATTTAACAAATAAGCTAATTCTCACTTTAAGACTACAAAACTTCTTGCAAATGAAGTTAATGAAAATTATTTTGCAAATGAAGTGATTATTTATTTCTTCAAAATAACTGTTTTTATGTAGTGACAAGAAATTTGTTTGAATCTTTTCAAGGGTAGTGTTTCACTTAACAGGCTGACACTCACCAGTCTGCCAAGAGGGAGTGCGAAACTGAGAGAGGAGAGAGGAAGCGGAGGGTGGGGGCTGTGGACCTCGGGACTCCAAAGCTGAAATCAGATTCATGACGGAGGGGTCAGGACCGGAGGGGCTGGGATGGTGAAGGCTGGCATCAAACAGCCCTGACAGGCCTGGCAACAAACCACAACACTCACTTAATTCATACAAATCATATCATAAATCACATCATCATCACATAAACAGTTTAACAAAAAGTCTTTGTTTTAAATTTGTATTTCTGTATTTATTGTATTACTTGCCCAAAGACTTCTAAAAGACAATACCCTTCCCAACCACATCATGTTCACAATACTGCCATCTGGTGATACAGAAGTATCTGCTGCCATACCACCAGACTACAAGAACAACGTCTTTGCTCAGGCTGTGATACTCCTCGACTCATCCCTTTTATTGTGTGTAGTATGAAGGACTAGAGCTAGCTTTTTGTTGTACAACCCTGTATTTTAGATACATAAGTAAATACATCTTGCACCTTTATTTTGGCACGTAACAGAGTCAGAAAGTAGTGATTACTATGTAGATCACTGTGTTGCAAAATAAAACTCAGACCACAGAGATTTTACAGAATTTGTGGTGCCATGCATTTACATCCTGCCTCTCTGCACCATTCAGACAATAATATATTTTTTCTATCTGGATAAACAGTTAGTCTGTTTGATTATTAGTTTGTGAATAATTTTCATCATGTAACACTGTGAATGGCACAGTTAGGAGCACAGATAGGTAATTTTTGCGATTAATCACCCTAGCTTCCATTTATATTCCACTGTAACCAACTGTTTGGCAAAAACAGCAGTTGCGTCTGAAAACACACGTTCTGCAAGAGATGTAGTTCTAAACTACAGTTCCTTTAGTTGCTCAGTGAAAACAGAGCCTTAATTCTCATTATCTATCAATTAACTTATTTCTTATCAATATTATAATACTACACATGTTAAAATATGTATGGTTTAAGTTATCAATAAGAAAAGCCTTGAGAGATCTACCAGAATTTCTCTATAATGTAACATGTCTTTGTGGTATAGGAACTGTATGAGAAGATACAAACCAAATTAGTTAAAAATCAAATATATTAATACTTGAATATATTATCAAAATATTGGAAATTAAAAAACAAGCAGTGTAAGACATGAAAATAATGTATAAACATTATTAATATTAAGATAAATATAAAGGGGCACATTTTTGTTACTGTGTCTTTTTAGATAATGTTTGCAAACCCTGCAAAAAAAGCAGTTTCATCGATATACACAAAAAAAGAGACGTGATGTCCATCTTTTATATGT